ATTGGTCAGTGTAAAACTAATAATAATTTTAAATGAGCTAGGGGTCATGAGGGAGGAAGGGTGGGGAAGGGAGGGAACAAAATGAGGAGTTGATACCAAGGGCTCATGTTGAAAGAGAATGTCTTGAAAATGATGATGGCAACAAATGTACAAATGCGCTTGACACAATGGATGGATGTATACATTGTGATAAGAGGTGGACAGGCCCCCAATAAAATGATAAACAAAAAATGAAAGAAAATCTGGTTCCCACTTTAAGTTTTAAACCTACTTGTGATGTAGAATGAATTGTTTCTGTTCAAAAGAATAGTATAAATAAACAATAAATTAACATTACTCCTAAAGGGGCCTTGGGAGGGCAGGGACTAAGTACTGACCCAAAGGTCAGCAGTCTCTACCCACCCACAATTCCATGGGAGAGAGGTGTGGTAGTCTTTGCTTCTGCAAAGATTTACAGTGCTGTAATTAACTCTTTTGGGCAGGTCTACTCTACCCTGTGGGGTCCCTGTGAGTCTGAACTTGACTCGACAGCAGTAAGCTTGGTTAACATTTCTCCAAATATCTGAATTTCTCAATATCTACATCCTCTGTTGTCATTTTCCCTAAAATTTTAATTATTTCACCACTCTATTTCCCTTTAATGAACATTTGGCACAAGTTATAAAACCTGCCTCGTCAGATACCTAGCACTTATCACAACGGGTGGCTAAATGTAGAAACTTAATAGTTTTTGGATAACCAAATTAACTTGGAAATTACTTGATTTTTTTGGGTAAGAATGTCATATGCCTTTAAAGTGTATAATAAATGAAATTTGAATAGATGTTTCACTTACTTTGGAATTAAATGATCTTGATAACTGATGATTATACAACTCTTTCTAATACGACTTAACTATGGAAGTGTATCACCTGTGAATTATACGTCAATAAAAATATTAAAACATGTGGAGTGGTTATTAAAATGCGGCAAATTCAAATAGTGCAATACAGTTTAGAAACCAAAAGGAACAAACTACTGATACACACAACAACATGGATGCTGACAAAATGTGGTGAAGAAAGCAGATGGTGCTTTACTATCAATAAGAACAGTGTCTGGGATCTTAAAGGCTTATCTTCAAACAAGCAGCCATAGAAGTCAACTAAGTCCACATTGAAAAAAACACAGCAGACTGTGCAATCCAAAGATGACAATAACAAAATCCAAATATGATGAAGGGAAAAGTATGAGCTTAAATTGTGAACACCCAATTTGTAAACAGTTATGGAGTACAGTGGGAGGCCAAAATCCATCTGCAGCCTGTCTGGTCGGGTTGAGACTAGCAGGTGCTCTCTAGCCACAGGCAAGGGACTCGAAAAGCTTTACTCGCCAACAGAGATTATTGTAAACTTGATTATGGTGGATCGGACTACGGTATAATACGATACTTGGTCAACTGACCTCCCTTCTCGACCCAAACAGAATTTGGTCTAGGGTTAAATGTTTATCACTTGTTCCATGAGAGAAATTTATTCTCCGGCTTTTAAAATATTGATAGTGGTCTTTTCTTTCTTATTTTTTATATTACTGTTTTTTAAAATACTATTCTTCTTTAACTTTCATTTTTTATTGTTTCTGTTAGGTTTCCCAGTTAATGAAATACAGAAGGAATGGATGCATAGAGACAATAATTGATGGAAGGGTTTATCGGGGATGAGGTGGTGGGTGGGAAGGTTAAAAGGAACTGAGGAGCAAACAATGAATGTGGGAGAGGAGAGGGGGCACCAGAACTGATTGTGATGAGGTACATACAACTTTTTTAAAAAGCGACTTAACTATAGAAGCATATGATATGTGACTTTTAGATTAATAAAGCTATTTTTTTAAAAAGAAAAGAAATCAAAGTTGACCAGTGCTTACCATGGATGAAGGAGGAAGGCTTTTAGCTTATGGGGCATTGAGTTTATGTTAATTATAGTTGAATAATTTGGAAAGGATTATCAATAATGGTTGCACAACACAAAGAGTATAATGTATAATACTGAATTATTCACATGAAAGTTGTTGAATTAGAGAATGTTTTGTTGCGTATATTTTGGACATAATTAAAAAGTAATTGTGCTGATAACAATGAGTACAAGGAAGAAGAAATGTTTTAAATTGATTGTGGCAATGATCGTACAACTCCTCTTGATATGATTGAACTATTGAATTGTATGATATGTGGATGGAATGCCAATAGAATTGTTTAAAAAAAAAGAATAAAATAAAATCCATATCCAAAGAAGGAAATGGTATTAGACCTTCAAGTGTGAACACCTGATTGGCAGGAAGCTACAGATGACAGTGGGAACTCCAAATCCATTTTTAAGGACCCTTTATCAATTAAGCCTCTGATGAATTCCCTCTGACCATAGTCGATGGATGTGCATAATCTTGCTAAAAGACCAAGAATATTGTAAACTGGATTACGGCAGATGTAATAAGGTTAAATGTAATACCTTATTATTTGATCTCCCTCTTGACCCATTTTAAATTTGTTCTAGTTTATAATACTTCCTGCTTTTTTTTTCCAATTCGGGTTTTTTCTCTGGCTTATTTTGTTATTGTTGTTGGTCTTTTAAACCTTTTTTTGGTATGTTGCCTAGTATATGGATTCCAGGATAGGTAAACTGTAGAGGAAGTAACTGGATTAATGATTTGTTGAGGAAATGGGGGGGAGGTGGTTGGAGGGAAATGGAGAGCTGATAATGAACACAAGAAGGAAAAACGTGTGCTGGAACTGATTCGAGTGATGATAATCCAATTCTTTTTAATACGACTGAACTCTGGAAGTGTATGGCATGTGAATTATATGTCAATAAAACTATTAAAACATGCGGAGTCAGAGAAGCAGGCATAAGAGAATACACACCGTAAGATTCCATTTATTAGAAGTTCTGGTAAATGAAAACTGATGTATAGTAACAGAAATTAAGTCAGTGGTTTTCTGGGACAGGGGACTGAGGGAAAGCTCACTATGAAAGACACAAGGAAATGTGTGGTGGTGATGTCAATGTGAGGCGTCTTGATGGTGATTGTGAGCCTATGAGCATAGACATCTGTTGCTATTAGGTGCCCTGGTGTTGATTTCAGTGTAGTAACCATCTGAAAACCAGAATGAAACACTTTCTGGTCCTGAAACAGCCTCACCATTGTGGTTTGAGCCCATGGTTGCAGCCACCGTGTCAATCCGTCTTGTGGAGATTTAACTCTTTTCCGCTGACCTTTTATTTTACAAAGAATGATGCCCTTTTCCAGGGATTAGTGGTCTCTTTTGAAAACATGGTCAAAATATGTAAGACAAAATTTCACCACCCTTGCCCTCCAAGGAGTACTCTGGCCATATTTCTTCCACGACATATTTGTTTGCTCTTTTGGTCCTTTATGGAACTTTTCATGTTCTTCCTCAAAACCCCAATTCAAATGCCTCCATTCTTCATGCGTTTTCCTTATTTGTTGTCCAGTCTTTGCATGCATAAGATGTGGTTCCAGTCCTGGTGTCATAGCGGTTACTATGCAAGCTACTAAACTTTGGTAACTAACTGCAAGGTAGCAGCTCTACTTTCATAACAAATTATTGTCTCAGAATCCCACAGGGACAGTTCTATCCTGTCCTATAGAGTCGAATTGACCAGTGAGTTTTGAATTTTGGGTCAGACACTATTTAGTCCTCAAACTGACGTCTTTGCTTTTTAACACTTTAAAGAAATCTTATGTAGCCATTTAATTTCTTTTCTGTTGCTTCCAAGAACATTGATTGTGGGTCCAAGTAAATTGAAATCCTTGACAGCCACAATCTTTTCTATTTTTCATAATGCTTTTGACTGGCCCCATTTTGAGGATTATACTTTCTTTATTATTACAACTATCTTACTATAATTTGAGTCACTTTATTGTACACACATTATACCACAATTAAACGATCACCTCATGAAATCATCTCAAAGATCCTTTACAGCTGAAGTATCACAGTAGCAAAAGGCACTGGGTACAGGAGATGAGATGGGACGAATGAATGGGATCTGGAGTGGACCAGACCTAGACTCAAATACTGACTATACTGTTGACTGGCCCTGTGGCCATTGGCAAATCACTTAACTGCTATGAGCCTCAGTCCCGTCTTCATCTCTAATGTGGGGGTGGTAATAGACTATGTCACAGAGATGAGAAAATGAACGTAAAAAACCTTAACATAGTACTTGGCATATTTGATGTTCACTGCACATATAACTCAACTTCCAAGAATTTTTCTAGACCTAGTTGGAAAAATTCAGAGGTGACATATAAATTATTTGAATTTTATTTTTGACTCCAGGATAAATTATGTATGACCTTAAACTTAAGTTTGAACACCTTCTTTGAGACTCATTTCTTCATTGTTAATTATTGAGAGAGTTAAGGTGTCTTGTTGACCAATTTCATAGAGATATTAGAAATATAAATTTAAGTAACAGACAGGAAAGAAGTTTGAAAGATTACAAGATGTAGGTAATGGTTCAAATACATTTTTTCCTCATGATTCTGTGGTCAACTGAGTAGAGAGCGTACACTAATATGATAGGGCTTACCCTCACTTTGCCTCCTTGTTTCTCATTTGGTCTTCATTCACACCCTTCGCTGTCTTATTTTCCAATTTCAGTCCTGCCTTGCTTCCTTTCGAGAGTCACAGAGGGTTCTTTTGCTACTCCAGTTCCTTCTGTCAGTGAGGAAATGATTCTGGTAAGCTAATTTATGTGAAGGTGATTAACCTACTGGATAATCACTAACAGGGCTATATGTAAATAAAAAGCAAATGACAATACCGCTATTGGAAATTCTGGTCGTCATGGTATTCTTTTGTGGCTGGGGTACTTGTTGAATATCTTCTATGACATTCACCTACTCCCTGCAAGTCAACTTAATCACTTTAAACAATGTTTGCCGTCAAGGAAGATGTAAGCTGAGTGACCTGAGATGATTTTAGAAGCAAAGGAGGACTATGCTCTTTTTGCCATCACTTTCCTCACTGCCCCTTTAACATCCCTGTTCCTTAGGCTGTAGATCAGAGGGTTCAACATGGGCGTCAAAGCCCCATAGAATACTGAGACAAACTTGTCCTGGTCTGAGGAGTACTTGGACTGAGGTTTCATATACATAGAAATGGCTGCCCCATAAAAAATGGTCACCACAGTCAGGTGAGAACCACAGGTGGAAAAGGCCTTGAACCGGCCCTGTGCTGAGCGAATCCTCAGAACAGTCACTGCAATTCGAACGTAGGACAGGAGAACAAATCCGAAGGGCAGAAGCAAGGTAAAGCTACCAGTGATGAGGATCATGAGCTCATTGAGACTGGTATCAGAACAGGCCAACTTAAGAAGGGAGAGAATCTCACAGACAAAATGGTTGATGACATTAGCCCCACAGAAGCGAAGGTGTAAAGATAAGACCAGCATGGCCGTGAGCAAAAGTGATGTCCCCCATGAGGTAGCAGCCAGCCAGGCACATACTGCACCATTCATGACCACAGAATAGCGTAGGGGATTGCTGATGGCAATGACTCGGTCATAGGCCATGACAGCTAATAAGAGACACTCTGCTGTGGCCAAGACTAAAGAGACACTCATTTGGGTCAAGCATCGTGGGTAAGAGAGATGGGGATGGGTAGAGAAACAATGCACTAAGACTTGGGGCATGGAAACGGTTCCATAACAAAGGTCTAAGAAAGACAAGTGACTAAGGAAGAAATACATTGGAGTGTGGAGATGAGAGTCAAAATGGATAAGAAAGATGATAAGGCCATTTCCCAACAAGGTGCTGAGGTAAGTTATCAGCACCAATGTGAAAAATGTGACTCTCCATTCAGGATAGTTAGAGATGCCGATAAGGAGAAATTCAATCGCCGCTGTGGCATTGCCCATGGCCATCCTTCCCACTTGCTCCTATTCATTGAGTGGGTACCACTGACACGGTTTAATTTTACCTGCAAAGGAGAAGAAAGATGGAGGACACGAGAAAAGTGAGGGGAAAAAATTAGGCTGTGCATGATCATTATTCTTTGTTGTCTTTAAAAATCACGGCACCTACAATAAGAACCAAGATGAAGCTAAAAATCTGCTTCCTATCCCAGAGGAAAACATTTTGTTGCCCCAATGCGTAATTGAGTTAACAAAGAATGCTTTTGCAAATAGCTAGTCATCCCTTAGTATCCATGGGAGACTGGTTTTGTGACCACTATGGATACCAAAATTTGAGGATTCTCTAGTCCTTTGTATAAAATGGTGTCATTTTTGCAAGTAACCTACACGGATCCTCCTGTATACTTTAAATCATCTCTAGAATACTTGTAGTACCTAATACAATGTAAATGCTATGAAACTTGATTATTTGCTCCCTCTTAGTCTTTGGAGGATCACTCGTACCACTTAATTCCTGGGGGTTTTGTTGTTTTCATTTTTCACAAATATTTTAAATCCACGGTTGATTGAATTGTAGATAGGGAATCTGCAGATATAGAGAGCTACCTGTGTATAAAATGTTCTCCTGTTCTCCCACAAGATGCCTTCTTGGACATTTTTTTCGAACTAAGGAAAGAGAAAAGGGAGGCCATCTTCCTGCCTTTATACTTGTTCACCATTTTGATCTGGAGTACAGATATCATTGATTTAGAGTCAGCTTAAATTACTGCTCCATATCAAGAGCATACTTTCCAGCTGATGAAAAGACATAACTGAAATCTTTCCTTTCTGTTTTTTAAAAAAAAATTTATTTCTCTTCCATAAGAGGTGTAAAAGTACCTCTTGATCTGAACTACTGCTACATAGATGGAGTAGTTTATGGAGTCTTATGATCTGTGGAGTCCTCTATGCTAGTAGTTCCTGTTTAAGTTACATCCCCAGTTTCTCCTGTGATTTCTGTACTCTGATTGCTAACCCGAGTTAGGAGTTCGAAAATCTAATGTCATGTTTCTAAAAGTGAGGGGGGTTAAGGACTGGGCTTCACTAAAGATCCTATCTAACAAGGCACCCATTTCCCATCCTCACCATACTCCAGCTGCCCATCCTGCTCATCCCTTTTCCTGAAAGCACACTCCAATATATAAAATTATGTTAATTTATTTGCTTGTTTGATTATTTGTCTCCTGTTGGAGTGTAAATTTATTGCTTTGTATCCTAATATATCCCTAGTACCTAGAACAGTGCCTGGGACATCACAGGAATGCAATAGATATGAAATAAATAAATGACTATAACAGTCTCAGGTAGTCATGGATATTACTCAGAATCTAATTACTTCTCTTGCCTCTGCATTCCGGTCCCTTATTCCAAGTCATCTTCATTACTCACCTGGGTTTTGTCAGTAACTTCCTTATTGCGCTCCCTGTTTCTGGCTTTGCTCCCTTTCAGTTCAAGTAAACAAGTTAAATTGTAAGTTAGATCAGGTCACCCTTTTATTTAAAAGTTTCAATAGCTTCCCATTTCAACCTTATTATGCAGCAATCTCATTATTATGAGTTGTAAGACTTTACATACTTTGACCCAGTTCCTACTACTTGCCCCTGGATCACTCTGCGCAAATCACACTGTCCTCTTCATCATTCCACAAACATGTTTCTCTTCCGCAGAGATTTGATCTTGTTGCTACATATTCATAACATATTCTCCCCTCTGCCCAGATTCTTGTGTGACTTACCCTCTTGCTTCTCTCAATCCTTTATTCACAAGCCTTAGTGAGTCTATTCTACGCCACCTTATCTAAAACACTCTATTCTCTGTTATTTTATATCAACCTTTCTATTTTGTTTTCCCCTTGGAATAATTACTCTCTAGCACACCATATGGTCGGTATATAATGAGACTTGTGGCTATTTAATAATTGTTTATTTTCTCCCCCAACTACAATGTAAGCTCAATGAGGGCAGGGGTTTTTGTCACTTTCCTTCTTGCTGTATGCCCCGACCTGAGAACAGTGCCTGGAACACGAGAGGTGCTCAGTTAGTATTTCCCGGACGAACCCATGAATGGAGTTCTTTAGCTATTCCTTATTTAAAGTCGCCATCTCTTTTCCTCTCTGTTCCCTTGACATTGCTGTTCGTACGGCAAGACGCTATTAATGGCTACGTCCTCCCTCGTGAAACTTACTCTCCCCTATTTCCAATCTCCTCCTTGAAACTTCTGGTATTCACTGGTTAGGTATCTCCGAACAAGTTTTCCCCCCCTCATGTGACCTAAATGTTCACTTTCAAATTAGTTAAAGTAAGTAAGTAAACAAGCAACTGTCTAGTTCTAACATCCCAGGATTCTTTGATCTCACTCAGTTAAAATGAAAACAAAACCAGATCTTACATTCTCCACATCACAGGAAATCTACTGCATTTTCCTCCTTTGTTGGAAAATATGTGAGCTAGAGATAGGATTTTGCCAAGGGATAGAGTTTCTCTAACCATTTCTGAAATGGGAGATTCACCTAGTCCTTAACAGTTATTAGGAAAGTTGATCCCATAACATCCTCCCTTCCCTGTCCTGGTCACCAGATAACCTGTTCCCAAGTCCCACACTTTAATCTACTCAACCTCTTGTAGAGGCTAACTACCCAAGGATGTTAAATGCATAAATATGGTGGTGTACTCCACTTGTGGAGTAGCAAACAAATGTACAGCATGGATGGTATGGTGACTTGCCTTCACAGGAGTGTCCTCAGAGCTTGAAATACCTAAAAGTGGTTTATCTTTCACTTTTTATTGGGCCCTGAATGATAGGTTTTGTCTTGGAGTATGTTCACCTTTTCAAGTTATGATCATCTCTATAAAAGCAAAATGGACAGAGAATCAACTGATGTATGTTAAATTTTAAATTAGTATGGTCAGACCTTAAAATGTTCTGAATGGTGTACATTTAACTCTCAATTATCTACATCTGGCTGTACAGTGAAATATCTGGGAAAAGTGTGTCATTGACTAATCTCTCAGAAATGGAAAGACGATTTTTTGTTCCTAGAGTATACCAGAAAAATGTTTACTTGTGTTTTATTAACAATGCAAAAAACCTTAGACTATGTGCCTCATAGCCAACTATGGATAGCATTTAGAAGAACGGGGATTCCAGAATGCTTAATTGTGCTCATGCAGAGCCTGTGCATAGACCAAGAAGTAGTTGTTCAGAAGGGACAAGGGAATACTGTATGGTTTAAAATCAGGAAAGGTGTGTGTCAGGGTTATATTCTGTCACCATGCTTATTCAATTAGTATACTGAGCAAATAATCCGACAAGCTGGACTATATGATGAACACAGCAACCTGTGATGTGCACATGACACATCCTTGGTTGCTGAAAGCTAGGAGGACTTGAAGTATTTGCTGAAGAAAATCAAAGTCTTTAGTATGAGTTGCAACTCAATGTAAAAAACAACAAGCATGATCACAACTGGATTAACAGACAACTTCCTGATAAACATGGAAAAGACTGAAGTGTCGAGGATTTAATTTTACAAAAATCCATAATCAATATTCATGGAAGAAGTATCCAAGAAATAAAGTGCATATTGCATCAGGCAAATCTGTGGCAAAATACATCTTCAAAATGTTAAATTACAAAATTGTCACTTTGAGGACTAAGGTGTGACTGACCAAAGTCATAACAATTTCAATAGCTTTAAATGCATGTGAAAGTTAGACAATCCGTTCGGAAGACCCAAGAAGAATAGATGCATTTGGATTATGGGGTTGAAGAATATTGAAAGTACCGTGGGCTTATTGAAGAACAAACAAACCTGGCTTGGAGAGAGGATAGCCAGAATGCTCCTTAAAAGTAAGGATGGTGAGACTTCCTTCCACATACATGGGACATGTTTTCAGGAGAGACCAGACCTTGAAAAAGACATCATGCTTGGTAAAAGCATAGGTTAAAAAGAGGTCTAAAGGGGGGGGGGCGTTGTGTGGGAGACCATCAATGAGATGAGTTGATTCAGTGCTTTCAACAATGAGCTCAAACACAACGCCACTTGTGAGGATGATTCAGCACCGGGCAGTGTTTCCTTATTTTCTACACAGGGTCACTATGATTTGGAAACAACTTGATGGGACCAACTAATAACAACAATATCTGGAAAAATGATCATCATACTGTGGTTGGGAGGATGAACTGGTTCTGCATAGAGATGGAAAGCTATTTACTGTGCCATTCTAAGTTCCCTTTTGCTTTTAGAATTCTAAAAATCATACCTATCTTGCTGTTGAATATTAAGTAATAGATGTTTTCTCTCCTCATGCAATCATTCCTAGCAAGCTGTAGAGTGTGTGCTGTTGCTGCATGATTGAGGAAGAGATTATAGCAAGTCCACCTCTTCATCCCCTATGAGTCCAGCAGAATAAACTGATGAGCTGTGTGACTAAACTTTGGTGATAAATCTATGGCTCTAGAACTGACTTTTTAAAACATGTTTAAAATTGGGAATTAGGTGGGGATTGATATTTCAGATAATCAATTTTATGTTCAACAGTTTAAATGACTTATCATTTTCTAAAGAGTGTAAACTGGAACTGACTTCTTAAAAATGGTGTTAAACTTACTGAAAAGAGATAGAGATTGAACCCATGACCTTGGTTCCATTAGTACTATATTTGGGCCTGTGGAACTAAAATTGATGACCATTTCCCTCTCATACTTATAGTCTAACCAGCATCTAAATTGAGTCGCTTATTTTTTATTTGCTTTGTGCTCAACCCTACGAAGATTGCTGATTAACCCACCCTAGAATTAGCACTGCACAATTCCTGGTACATGGGTCCAGTCTTTTTCCCATCCTAGCCCTGCCACCTGGTATTATTTATACAGCCTCATTTCCCTTTCAATTAATAGCTGCCATTTTCTCTCTCTATATCACCCATAATTTAGAAGTGGTTAGAGACCTAAGAAAGGGAGAAAAGGAA